CATCTGCCCCAAAACCACTTGGTTTCTTTGCAACAACCTGCACACAGACACCTCCCCCAGCTCCTTTCTAATTTATTCGTTTTAAACTTTACCCAAGCAGCCTCTGCCACCAAAACTGCTCCCCACCTTACCGGCACCGGCATTGTCCTGGCACCTGGTTGTCCTGGCTGCTCCAGTGAGCTGATGAGCAGCAAAGCTGCAGGATGGGAATTAGGAGGTCCCTGAGGGTGGGGAGCTCCTTCCTGGGACACGCGGCAGGAGCTCAGTCACCCACAGGTGAGTTTTACCCCAAGCTCTGCATTCCAGTTTGGCTCCTGAGACTCGATGCGTTGGCGGTCTCATCCCGAGGGAAGCATCGCCCTCCTCCCTCTGCCAGAGCGACAGGCGACGTTAAACATCCTCACTAGAGAGGGAGACGGGAGTTTGGGTTCCAAGGAGGGCGAGAAGCTCTGAGCGCAGCTCCCCGCCCCCATGCACCAGCCCAACTGCTCGCAGAAAGGAAAGCCCAGCCCGAAGCACAAAAGGGAGTTATTTATTTTATTTTTAAACTTAAAAGCATTTTGTTGCCAGCTCCTGTGCCGTACCTGCTGTCCCCAGCAGCCCATTTGAACCCTGTGGAGCGCTGAGCAGGACCAGCCGAGCCCTGGCTGATTTTCAGGACGCAACGGGTGATGCTGAGCCCAGGGACGTGCCCTTCCAGGTGCAGCCTGTGCCGCTCCACACGCCTACTAGCGAGCAATATCCACACCGTGAGGCAGAAAACAGCCCTGAGTTCCTTCCCCGCCAGCTGGCAGAGGTTTCCCATCCCTATTTCCCCCTTTACTCCCAACCAGGAGGTGGAGGAGGTTTCCCAGCGCAGGGACTGGGCTCTCGGAGCAGCCAGATGCTGCTGGAGGAGGGCAGGGCTGGGAGACACCGTCCAGGTGAAGGTCGTGTGGGGCTTCTGCCTGGTGCCGAACCAGCCTCGCCGATGCCAAACCAGCCTCGCCGGAGCCCTCCCTGCCTGGGGCGGGCGGGGGGATGCTGCAGGAGCTCCCAGGCCAGCACAGAGACCAGCTGGGGCTGAAAGGAAAGAAAAGAAAAAAAAATAATAAAAAAAAAATCCATGTTTAGTGCCACCTTAAAACTTCCATTTGAAATAAAAAAATGTTGAAATTGTTCAGCTGTCCCAACCAACCTGGCTGGCAGCGGGGCTGACCGGCTCACGCCGCTGCCCAGTGGGGAGTGCTTCCCTTTCCGTGACTGAGAGTTAAAATTCCAGGCGGGTTACTCACTCATCATAAGTGCTCCTGAGCATGGAAAAATAAATTCACGCTGGCAAATTGAGGAGAAATAGAGGTTTTTTAAGCCCGTGTCTGTCTTCAGCGACGCTGAAGCAACTGCGGCACTGCTTGCTCTGCTAAATAAAACGTGTTGGAGGGGTTGGGATGTCAGATGGTTGATGTACAGCTGGAAATAACGAGGCTCCATCTCCCCCTGCCTGAGGTTTGATGTCCGAGGCCTCTTGCTGCGACACTAAAACCGCCCCAAGACCCAAGCGAAGTGAATTTAAATATTCTTTGATCTCTTCCCAAGCCTCACTATTAAAAAGGCAGTTGAAAAGAAATATTCTCCTCGCTGTCCTCCTGAAGAAAGCAAACAGAAAGTTTAGCTTTGAGGACAGGAGCTCCAGAGCGGTGGCTTTGAGGACCACAGGCTCCACCATCTCCCTAAACCCCAGGGATGTTTTCACCAGTTGATGATGAAGGAGGGGTGCAACATCCCCCAGGCAAAGCGGCCCTCGGGCATCTAAAATCCTTGGCCAAGCAGGAGAAATTCAGGCCAGTGCATTTGCAGGTACTGCCAGGAAGGAACAGCTTTTCTTTCCCCCCGCTCAAAGAATAATCGGAAAGAGGTTTTGATAAAAAAACTTAGCAGCACCCTGTCGTATCTACCCCACCATCCCCTTCAACGCCAGCAGCCTCTGGCAACGTTTATAGTTATAAACCTAAACCTTTGAAGCCAGGTGGCCTTAAAATGCCATTTCCCATCACTCTCCTTCGTCCTGGGGAAGGGGTCGAGGCGCTCTGCTTTGCTGCAAACCCCCTTCCCGGAGCGGAGCTGCTCCCTCGCGCAGGTCCCCGTCGGTGAGAAGCGGGGGAAGGACGGATGCTCCAGCTGGGAGCGAGGATAAAGCTGCACGAGCAGCACTGAAGTATCTAAACACACCTCACCCGGGGTCAGGAGAGCGCAGCGGGGCTCCTTCCAGCGGCGAAGCCAGTCGAAGGGATGACAGAGGGGGCCCATGGCGAAGGGGGGACATGAAGGAAACGTTAAAGCACTGCACCAGGGACAGGGGACAGACCTCCGTCAGACTGGGAGGGAACACCAGGGGACACATGTGACTTGGCCTCACAAGGAGATCCTTCGGTGACCCGCCATTGGAGGGGGGGGCCAGAGGAGGGACACGAAGATGCTACGGGGGCTGGAGCAGCTCCCTG